CCCCAAAACCCCAAAACCCCAAAACCCCAAAACCCCTTAAGAAAGGAGTGAGCTGAAGTGATAATATTAAATATGGGAAGTAATTGTTGCACTGATAGATTGGAGGATGAGCAGGAGAATGGACTTGTGGTGGGTAGAAAGAGGCATGGAGTTACCAAGATGCCACAAGAGTTTGATAGAGAGTTTTTGGAAATCAGTTTTGGAGACGACAGTGATGATCAAGGTAAGATTGAGTTATAGAAATCAATGGTATTTATTGTTTTTGCATACCTATTTTTACCCTATTAATCTTAGCATACCAGCTGAGCTAGCAACTCCCAAACACTTTTTAACCTTGATTGTATAGACAGTAAAGGCTCCTTTTTAAGTCCTTCAAATGGAAATATTCCAAAAATACGGAGAAATAAAAGTTACATTACGATATCAAGCCCTTTAGCTCAGGCAATGGGTGAAGGCAATGGCAAGCTGCAGAATTCCAAAATAGATTGAAGCAGAGACAAATTGTTCAGAACCGGAGTAGAGTCTCAAAATTTCACTAACTCAACATTTATGGGCTTAGTCTTACCTACAAGTTCAACAAACAACCCTAAATCATCTGATGGGGAGGACAGAATTGCTCCTTTCATGGAAGAGCTGCAGAACACCTATACATCAATGAGGCTCCAGAAAAGGAAGAAGATGAAGATCTTGGAAAAAATCAAGAAGAGCAACTCCCGCAAAAGATTTATGTATCAAAGAGATATCAACCAGGAGATTAGGTGTACTTCTTTGGACTAACTTAAGCTTATTTTTAAAACGGTTTTTAAATTTTTCTCAAGTTACAATTTACTTGAAATAGCTCGGGATGACCTCTGGCATTCTTGATGGGCCTAAGGAGTCATTCTTGAGAAAAACAAGGCTCTTAATATTGATCAGCCCTTGTTCTTCAAAACTTGGCTTCCTAGTTATGGCTTCTACCAGAATTCTTATCGGAGATTCGGGCATGAAGAATATACATTAATTGCTAAAAGTGGAAGAGTTATAACTCTTCATATTTCTCTGTTGAATTGGCCAGAAAAATATTCGAAACTGTAAAATAGTTATAAACAGGCCTTCAATTTAAGAAGGGATGATGGGGTTTTGGGGTTTTGGGGTTTTGGGGTTTTGGGG